GCAGTGTTGCAAATGGTTTGAAGAGGGAGCATCCTGCACTCTCAGGTTTATTGAGTCGGTCCGTCAGTGGAGATCCAAGGAAACTTCAAAGTAATGTGGCAAACGGTGCAAAATTTGGCTCCAAAAGTAAGCTGTTTGTTTATGCTCCTGACTGCACTGTTGGAGGCTCTGCGCTAGCCCTGCATTATGCAAATGTTATCATCGTGATAGAGAAGCTGCTCCGTTATCCACATTTGGTTGGTGAGGAAGCCAGGGATGACCTCTATCAGATGCTGCCAACAAGCTTAAGAAAAACTTTGAAGAGTAAACTGAAAGCTTATGTGAAAGACTTAGCTATCTATGATGCTCCTCTGGCCCATGATTGGAAGGAAAGGCTTGATGAGATACTGAAGTGGCTTGCCCCCATGGCGCATAACATGATCAGGTGGCAAAGCGAACGTAATTTTGAGCAGCAGCAGATAGTTACCAAGACAAATGTGCTGTTGCTCCAAACCTTGTACTTTGCTGACCAGGCAAAGACGGAGGCTGCAATCTGTGAGCTACTGGTTGGTTTGAACTACATATGCCGCTATGAGCATCAGCAAACTGCTCTATTGGATTGTGCAAGCAGTTTCGATTTTGAGGACTGTATGGAGTGGCAAATGCAACTTCGGGCTTCTTTTCAATCTTGAGTATAGGTTGACTTGTACAATGCTAGGTGGTAATTTCTCAACTTTCTGCATTGTATAATACAAGTATAAGATAGTTTAACAGATGTGAATATCAAAGAAAATATGAATCCCAAAAATGGAGCAGCACTCAATGTAATTGTATTGCAAGAAACGGATTCACAAGTATGACGGTCCACATTGGAAGTCTGTTTTCAAGTACTTTAGCTTTTATGTATGCAGTAGCTTTTGCGTATAAAAGTAGATATTCCTTCTTTATCTACTATTCTCTGATTCTTGAGTTCAACTCTTTTGAAGTTGCATCTCCTGGTTGCATTTCTGATATTTGTGAGGTCAGACCACAAAAAACTACAAGTATGACAATCAAATTAGGTGTCTACAAGGAATTTACACTTGTTGACTTTTGCAACCACAACTCAATATTGCACATATCCATACAATACATTGTCGGATGCGCCAAGAATTTCTTGTGGTTTACAACCTCAGGTGTTTAGAAATGGATATGCAGCATGGAGATTGATTATATTAGAATCACAAATCTTCTGCTTGAGGTTCTTCTTTATCCCAAACTGTCGAGCTGAGTCAGTCAGCAAGTAGGTGAGAGAGACTTCGTTAATAACTTGCTGGAGGTGGGAATTATACACTACAGATTACTATTCCACTATTCTTTCACCCGTTGTCAAGGAGAAATACTCTAACTGCCTGCAATTTGCGTTATTTTTTTCTCATTTGAAAAGAATTCTTCAATGCGGTGGATTGCTGGAATTGAATGCTTGGAAAGGACAAAACAACATCGTTTGTTTTATACTGTTTTGACAACGTGTTTTGAAAAATTTTAAACACAAGTTTTAGATTATATGAAAATTTTTGCTTTAATATAATATTATAACACTTTTTATGATGTGATGTATGTAAGATAAAATGATAATTGAGAATTATATTTATGATTCAAATAAAATAATATTTAAAACTTTTTTCTTTGCGGATTGTGATATCCAATGGGATCATATATCCAGATTCTTCTTTTATTTTTAATATACTTTGACTTATTTTGAGCAAAATTTCACTTTCCTTTAAAATTTTCAGTGAAGTTCAAACATGATAATTAATTTCTACTAGGCTATTAGCAAAGCCCAAAAGTCACAGACCCTGAGTTGAAGTTCTTAAACAAAACGACCTCGTTAGACAGCCTTCTCTAGCAAATTATTCAGCAGTTGACAAATAACTACACCCGATTTTTTTTTTTAATTTTTGGGTAAAATAAAGAAAAGTTCCTGTGGTTAGGCGAATCTACAAAAAAAGGCCCATATATTTTCAAAATATACATTTCGGTACCTTGTGGTTTGAACTAATCTAAAAAAGTGACGAAAATCCTTTGAATTAACGGATTTAAGATACACACACCTCTTTTGCTAGTATTTGCACTGAAAACAAATAAAGTTTTAATTGATATACCTATTATACCCTTAGAATTAAATAAAAGGGTAAAATGCAGAAAAGGTTTCCGTGGTGAAGCAAACATATAGAAAATGTTCCCTGTGGTTTCCAATCATATAATCCGGTACTTAATGGTTTGAACTAATATAAAAAAAATGATTAAAAAATCATTTAAATTAACGAGTTTGAAATAAATGCGCTCGTATTTCAAGTGCTTGACTTGAAAAATAATTTTTTAAATCAACTTTTAGCTAATATATTTATTAAACCCCTTAGTCCTTAGAGCTCATAAAATTCTCAAAAACCATCCAAAACTCCTAAATGCAACTCACTTTATTTCTATATACAAAATAAATGAATCAAAATTTTCAAATACAACTCATTTTATTTCTATATACAAATAAATAAATAAAAACTCTCAAATACAATTCACCTTATCCCTATACACAAAATAAATAAATAAAAATAAAATACCACCATTATCTCTTTCTCCACCACCACCTCCATCTCTCACCACCACCTTCTCCTTCTCCTTCTATCGCCACCTTCTCCTCCATCATCACTTTCCTTCTTTCTCATCTCCCTTTCCCTCTCCCCTGTATCATACTCCATCTTATCACCTCACGGTTACTTCTCTACACTATCTTTCCTTTCAACGACCATGGTTGGTTGAGAGAGAGAGAGAGAGAGGGAAGAAGGTGCGATGAAGAGATTGCAACTAGATCGCCCCTTCCCTGCACACCCTTCCTTTCCTCCTACAACAGATCTAGTCACAAGAAGAAGGTGAGAAGGTATGGGAAAAGGGCTGCAAGGATAGGGAAAGTGGGTGCAAGAGAGGGAAAGGAGGAGGAAGAGGGAGGGGAAGAGAAAGGAGGAAAAAGAAGGGGGAGGGGATTTAGATGAAGAGGAGAGTGGGGGTGAAAGGTGGAGAATGGTGATGCCATCAATAGGTGACCATAGGGGGTTTTTCCATAGGTCCGTTCAACCATAAGGTGTTTTCCATATATTTGCTTAATCAGAATGGTTGTTACGGTCTTTTTTGCCCACATATATTAGGATAATTGTGCCATTTCATCCACCTCTATTAGTTTTGACAATTTTCATTGTTGTTTCAAATTTGTTCAAACAATAAGGGGTTGGAATGTATGATTTGAAACCATAAGAGATTTTTTTGCAAGTTAGCTTGGGGTTTTTTTAATATTTTACCCTAAAATTTCTTTTATAGTAGATAGGAAGGTTTGAACTCGGATCTTCTCACTTACATTCTCTTTCTCCAAACCATCCAACCTATTCCCCTTCCATAATTCAACCGATTCAATTCTTTTACTGTAACATTTTTTTTTAATTTTTTTAAATTTATCCTAAAAATTTATTATTAAGGATAATTTCAAAAACCTTCCCTAAGATTTCTAATAATTATAGTCACTCTCTTAAAGTTTAAAAAATTATGAAAACCTTCCCTAAAAAGTATGTCTTGGTAACAATTAATGATGTAAGTAAAAATAAATCTAATGAATATCCAATATTATCCCTCTCTGATATTTAAAATAAATTAAATGCTAAAAGTTCAACTATCACGATTATCCGTTAGGTGAAAATTTCAAATTAACTTTTTACAGGAAAATTTAAACCACGTTTTGAAAGCATTCTTTTTTGACATTTTGGACTTGTTTTGGGTAAGTAATTTTTGGAAATACTTATCTTAATAAATGGCTCCCTAAGTGGTTGGTCAACTTTTTGTAAATTGATTAATGAATCTAGTAAAAAAATTTGGGAATAAAGTATGATGTACTAAATTAGATGAAGTTAGAGCTTTAGGATGAAGAAGTATTTCCATTTTTCTCTTTTAAACTCATTTTTCATTTAAAATTTGTCAAGTTTGTAAAAGCTATCATAGTCTTTTTATAGTATCAAGTAGGACTGTCAATGGGGCTGGACCAGCCCTAGCTTGCCTCATTTGGCCCGAAAAAAGCCTGATGAACCCGACCTTTTAATGAGTCGGTCTGAGATTGAGCTTAAAAATTAAACCCGAATTAAATATGAGCCAAGTTTGGACCTTATTAGGCTCAAACCCGATATAGGTCTGGCCCTTTAATTATATATATATATATAATATTTTATATTTTGATATTATGTATAATTATATATTCAAATATATTATTATTAAATACTAAATATATATAAATTACAAAATATAAAAATACATCTAATGACTTTTCCATGAGTTTTTTGAGAGTCAATATTAATAATGCATAACTGAATTTCTAATTTTTCTTATCGGTTGAATAAATTTTTGTGTTGACATAATATTGGTTGATTTATTTTTGGTCTACAAACACAAATCATCAAGCATGTTTGGATTCAAATCACAAGATTATAAAAAAAGTTTCAACTATTACAGATGCATTGGCTTATGATCGCATGTTTTATTATTATTTTTCATGCATTTTGAACGAATTAAATATAAATATTGTTAAAAAATTTTTGGTTTATATACTTTTTAAGAACTATTATGTGTTCATGTTTAGTTTTGATATTACAGTCTTGTAAATGTTAAATTAGTTTTACAACTTAATAGTTAACGTAATTATATGAAGAAAATTAAGGAGTAATAAATGAACTTGAGCTAAACTCGATAAAGGCTCACAACCTGAATATTATGTGAGTTGAGTATAAGTTTCACATTTATGAACCCGAAACCCGAAAATGTTCAAATTAAATGAGTTGAATTTGAGCTTGTGAAAGTCCGGCTCATTAGGCCCCATTGACAAGCTTAGCATCAAGGGAAGTAAGTATAATTTTTCAAACATTAGGGGAGTGGCTGCAATTATCAGAAACCTTGGGGAGGTTTACAAAATTATCCCTTATTATTAAGTATATCTTAGATCTGGACACTCTTTTTAATTTTTTTTGGCCAATTTAAAATTCTCCAATTTACTCGAATTTCCTTCCTTACTTATCGAGCTCGACTGAATCCTCAGCGAAGCCACAAATAGCAAATGCAATGAGTCATCGAAGGTTGGTTATCAGTTTCTTTCTGTGCTAATTACATTTCTTTCTTTCTTTCTTTCTTTTGAATATTATGATCTTGTGTGATTTTGGTTGAAGTTTTATGTGCGAAACAGTGCAGTTAATTCGTCAGTGCATTTCAAGTTGCTTAGGAATCTAATAGGATTTTCATGGCTGAATATTTTTGGTTTACCCAATTTTGATGAGAATTTGTAGTTCATGTTTGTAAATTTCTCTTTTCAGTTATGAGGATCTGTTTTTGAAAAATTAATTTTTTATCTCGTTTAATCTTTAATTGCATTGTGTATAATGAAGTTGGACATTTCTGTAACATAATTTGAAGCAAAGGAATGATTTTGCAAGGAAATGCAAGAGCAATTACATGTCCTTTTTTGGAGATTTTAAGGGAAGTAAGCAATCCCATTTTAAGGAATGATTTTGCAAGGAAATGCAGGATCTACTTTAGGGCAATCCCATTTTAGAGAAGATTAAGTGGGCGTTTCACTTTCTGAATCACTATGGAAGTATGAGATGAAGTCGATGATAATGCACTTTGAATGAGGTTAAATGCATAATGGTTGGATCAAGTTCTGTGGTTGGATTTGAACAGATTATGGCTCCCTATAGCGTATGGGGCTGAGTATAAATCTGAACCTGGGAAAAGAAGGGGGGGGGGGAGGCAATCATTTGTACAGAGGTTTTAAAATAATGTTTGGTGTTATCAGGCTTGGGGGAGGTTTGAATTGCGTAAATCCAATTAAAGGAAGAGCTGCACCTGAAGAAGTGAGTGTGTTATAGCATAAGTTTATCCTTTTGCTTGACGGACTATCATGAAGTACACTCTATCTGGTTCAAAACCTATTTCTTGTCCTTTTACTTTGTAGCTTGATGTGTTCAATTAGTGCAGATATCATAGAGCCAATACAACTAGTGGAACTTCCCTCCATTTATTTTACAGAATGATTTTAAATGCGTGCAAGTAGAACCGAAAAGGGAATAGCTGTTGAGCTTTGGATGTATAGGGCCAACTGCTTCCATTGAGGTCACCTTGCACTTGATCCAAAGAGGATCACGTTGAGATAGGGTACACAGAGAGGCAAATAGTTTCTCCAAAAAATGCTTTAAAGTGAAATGATTGGTTGAAGCCTTTTATGAAATGGATGTCTTCCTTTCATTATGTGAATAACATACCTTTCCGTTAATCTGCTTTGCTCGCTTTATTGATTGAAGTATGGGATCACACAGAAGCTTGAATGGTTGGTCCTGCAAACAGTGTGTTAGGTAGTAACATTGGGTAGCTCTATCGACTGGATCAATTCTACTAGGAGAAGTCTCGGCATCAGTTTCTGCAACACTTCCTCAACATCTTCACCATTTCACTTCGGCTTAAACATTTAGTACCATTATCTGCAAGTGCTTGAGATACTTTCCTGTTTATCATGCACATTGATCTATTTTCCAATTGATCTAAAATCTCTTTCATGTTTGCAGGGATCAAAGATCCTCCAGGGCTGCTCTGTTTGATGACATTGAAGAGGGTGGTCTTAGGGCCTCCTCTTCTCGAGATGTCGATGAGCATGGCAATGAAAAAGCTATTGAGAGCTTACAGGATCGAGTCAGCTTTTTGAAAAGAGTAAATTTGATACAACTAATATATTCATTTAAGTTTTCTTTTTCCTGCAATTCTTTTGTTAATCCTGTGCTTCACATAGAACCTCTTTTCTTTGAAAGTGGTCTCAAGAAGAACTGCTTTTGCGTAATCTATGGTTCGGTTCCATTGGCTTTAGAACGAATAGAATTCTTAGGCTTTTTTACTTATAGGGGCAAGCTCAGATATCATTGCTTTTTTAATGGACCTGTGGTCTTTAGACCAAACCACTAGATGATGTACTTAGGGTGCGTTTGATAAAATTGAAGTTTGAAAACTGAAATCTGAAATATGAAGTTTGAATCCATTAAGTTATTAAATTGTTAAATGTTAAATCAAATATATTTGAGTGTATATCACATTCAGTGAAAAGTGAATAGTTTATCACTTAGTTTTTGGGAGCAAGCCTAGGAAATTTAGTACCACTTAATTAATTCAGATGTTCAATTTTTGGTTATCAAATGCATCTGAACATATTAAGATCTAAATCTATTAAGTTTAAGTGCTGAATTAAGTTATCAAACAAAGCTTTAGTCTGATGTTTAGTCGCCCAGAAAGTAACAGCTATTCGCTAAGTTACATTTTTTCCCATGGCATTCTGTGCCAATTGCTAATGCATGTATTTGGATTTCTATAGAAGGTTACCATCTTGTCTAGTTCACATAATGTCTAAGAGGCATGATATACATTGAATTTCTTCTATGCACTCCTTGTGCTTGATGGTTGCTTATTGGCTTAATGTTGTAAGTTTCAATAATCTACAAAAATGTGTCAAAGTATTCTGTGCATTTGATTTATGGTAGCCTGTGCAAGATAACATGGAAGTACAATTGATTGCAGAGAACATAGAGGGTAAAATATGCGAATTATATTTGAGGTAGTGGTATGGCAATCTATATATCATCGGTTCTTGTGTACATTTTTTATTCTCATTGTATAGAGTTCTGGATTCTAGTCCATTTTTTGATGATTCAAACAACACTTATACATATTGCTTTGAAATTTGACAGCTTACTGGTGATGTACATGAGGAGGTGGAAAGTCATAACCGCCTCCTGGGCCGAATGGTATATAATTGCAGTACATAAAGTTTTTTCACTATTCAAAGTTACAATTGAATCAGAATGTTTTACTTGTCATTAATTGTTTAGGGAAATGATATGGATGCATCAAGAGGAATCATGTCTGGAACCATTGCTCGTTTCAAAATGGTAATTAATTGGTATTCTACCACCTAGTACTACTTTTCTTCAATTTAACTTTCGTAAGCTAAGTTTGATTGAGCTTACTGTTATAGGTGTTTGAGAAGAAATCAAGTCGAAGAATGTGCAAACTCGTAGTATGTTTCGTGGTTTCTTTTCTTGTAATCTGCTATATGCTTAGGCAAGTATCTCTTGTATCCTTAATTTGCCTGCATAAATCTTGGATGCGATTGAAATCCCTTCCTGAAAAAATTTCAATTCTATTTGATTTGAGGTTAAATTATTTGATCTTGAGGAAAGACATTGCTTTATGGTATTTAAGAAACCAAGAAACATATTCATAAGTATGCAACTATTTTCCTATAAGGCAAGCAGGCATGCAATCTGCTGAACTAAAGTTACTTTTATCTTCCTGAGTTGCTAGTGTTGTCAAGGTTGAGGTGTATGGTGGAGCCACTATCAGGTGTACATGGGGAGGTTTCAAATGTCTTGGATGTCCTAGTTAATCAGGGAGCTAGATATGAGATAATCGTAGGAAAGCAATTTCCAGGAAAAGAAAAAAAAAGATTATTTTTATAATAAGTAAGAAGCTGGATACATTTTTCTTGATGATACTAATTGGCTTTTGTCTGCAGGGTTCTATTCCACTATCTATATGGATAAGCTGGATTGTTTTTACCAATATCTAGTCCTGACGAACGATGCTAAGCCAGATTTAAGGATCAGAACCTCTGCCCTCATGCCCAGTTATTGTGTTTATGTAGCGTGTGAGAGGAGTTTGCAATGCCAAAGCACTCTTACTATTGACAGGATTGAACCCTTGTGCTACAAGCACTGAGGCTTTAGTTCTTCATAATGGAAGAACTGCTATAGATTTATTCTGTCGTGACGAAATGTTCTGTAGCGGGAGAAGGATAGTTCTTGTAATTTCATGTCTCGTATTTTTCTTTCGTCCCCTTTCCGGGAATGTGTAAAGAATCTTTTTGTGAACAGTTGGTCCTATTTCCTTGAAATTACATTCAGGAACGCTCAATCTTTCAGAAACGTTTGTTTCATACTCCTTGTGTTCTAGAAGTTAACTTGTCAGTTTGTACAGATTGTAGATTGTTGAGGCATGTTTGATGATGTCCTCTGTACACCCAGAATTAAAATGATTGAACCGCCTTCTTCGGTGTTCACGATACAGCTTCAATTTGTACTACATTGGAGTGAAATAGAAAAAATGGTAGCAGCAGTGTCGAATACAACTTAGCAGATAGTCAAGAACAAACTTGGACCAGGAACTCCATCGGATGAACCAGGTGGTGACCTTGGACGTAAACTGCTGAAGCCCGAGTTAGCTTTGTTCATCGACCGCCTTGATTTATTTCAAAGAGTTGGTGGACTAAAAATGTACGTATGTCATCCCTAAGTTTGCCGTCCCATATATTAAACTCTAAGGTCAACTGGATCTGCGGTGTAAACAATTTGTAAGCCGAAAATGACAATTATGACCAATATACTTTTCATTGTTATTACTCCCTCCGTCCTAATATATTTGTCATGTTTGGGATTCCAACATTTTAAAAATAGTGATTTGATTGTGATGTTTGTGCTTCTCTTTTCAATCTTATTCTCACAAATTTAAAATTTGGATTTGAATGGTAACATGCACATATTAAAGGAAGGGACTATATTAGTGCTTTGACGTCCCAAAATGCTTTGACTTTTGGGATTAAGAAGTCCGTACATTTTTAGACATTTCAAAATGAAAAATATGATACTTTAAGTGGGACAGATGGAGAATTTTTTAGCTGCCTTTTATTACTAATAGCAGTCGTACATGAACATAAAGTCGAGCAGCAATACTCATGCTTCGGTTTTTTCCTTTCAAATAATAAGTAAATTATTTTTTTTCTGTTTATAATTTTCTTGTTGTAAGAAACTTAATTATAAAAAAAAAAAAATGAGACCCATGTTTTAATTGCATTAATTGATATATGATTTTTGTATGTTTTTATTGCTTCAATTGACATAAAATTTTGGTATCTCTGCTACACGAATTGTATTTTTATGCTCATATTTCTTTTGCAAATTAATACTTGTAAACATATACCAAACGTGGGAGGCATTAATTATCTCATGTGCTTTTTTTTTTTTTTTTACCCACTTGTGTTTTGCTTCCCCTTGAAACACCTGTTTTCAAGCTAGTAGACACTATTGGAGAGTTTTGGTAATTGTTACTTCAAAAGTTACCTTTCCCGGAGTAAAAGGCAGTAATTTGGTGAACCAAGAATTCGCATACTATTGGAATTGACTGATTGGTCGATAGCTCAAACCTTAATTACTTATTGGATACAGCCTCGTTAGCAATGTAAAACCTTAATTACTTATTGGATACAGCCTCGTTAAATACTTTTAAAGTGGACTGCAGATGCATTAGCACTAAGTAGAAACATTGCCAGCCATGGTTATAGTAATCTTTGTCTGAAGTAAATACTTATTTAGTTCGACTAACATCCATTGCTCCAAAATCAACATGAAATAGAAAGAGACAAGCCCTTTTGACTTGGAGTTTTTGAAAATTTTTGTAGAAAAATATACTACAGCCATATGATATACATGAGATAAAAAATAATTAAAAAATGTGTCAAAAAATAATTCTTAAAAAATTTTCATAGAAACACTAGACAATGGTTCATCTAGTGCACGGAAGAGTTTTAAAAGAACTCTCCCTGATCATTGGATCAACGGTCAATATTTCGAAGTGCAGTATATCTAGTAGATAAGGTTTTTTTTTTAAAAAAAAAAAAAAAAATCCACTTTCAAGTTTCAAACAACAAAAAGTGAAGCAGAAATGGAGTTTCACCATGGGTAATCAGGGTAATTAAGTACACTACAATCTCATACCAATTATCAAACGATTCACAACCAAGGGCCACGAGGGGCGGAGCCGGCTGCTCCATGGCCATACATCCGACGCACTCACGTGCAAAACGTGTGCGAAGTCACTGACACTGACAGGCATTTCCAAGCTGGGACCAGGATCAAGGGGAGTGGCAGTCTGCCGAGGTTAAATTGACCATACATTGGGTTTGATAATTGTAATTATAAGCATCAAATTGCATGGTTGCAGTCGTATGCTACATCTTAATTATGACAAAACATTAGGTGGAGAAAGCGATGCATTGCTGCTTTTCAGCAGCTGAAGCTCTTATTCACAGCCTGCATGATCATCAAACCTTTTCATCTGCTTAATTAAGTCCGTTGCCATATGCTTACAATTTAATTATGTGTCCTTAATTTTGTTTGTTTTGTAGACCAAAAGGCTTCTTATTATAAAGTTGATCCGGACCTATGTTTACCTTGTCCTGTCTTCTTGTCTGGCAAATCTGGAGCTTGACAAATGTTGATCGGCTGCTATATATACTTTTGTTTTGGTTCCTGATATTATGGAAAACGATAAAGAAGAGCCCAAATTGAGGATTCAACTCGCACAGTTGTGGAGTAAGTCTTGATCCTGTACGTCAAGAAGCTCTTAGGGATCAAATTAAGCTGGCATACATACATGTATATATATATGGCAAATTCTCCACAAGTACACATTCCAGCATGGAGTCAGCAACAATCAGCAGATTGAGGATTTTGTTGACTTGAAAGACTTGTTCTTAGATGATTGCACACTAATTATGCAGAAAGGTCATAAAATCATATACAAAAGATTGTCTTTTGCCATTTTATTTTATTTTATTTTTTTTGGTTTTCTCACTTGGTTATTTAGTTGAGATTATTCATTAAGACTGCCATTAATTCAAGAATTATGTCACCGTATTTTGACTTTCTTCTTCTTCTTTTTTTTTTTAAATTGCGACTGAGCTACACATCATTTGACCAAGTAGGCTAAATCTGTTGCAGATAAAGATTGAGAATTGGACATTCCGCAACACAGGAAAATGATTTTATACCTGCCCAGGAAGCGGAAGTATACGTAGTTTTCTTGTATGTCAATGGAAATTAGTGATACATTGCCCTGTGACTCAGAAACTTCGTAATACTACTCACAGCTTTGATCAGCCTTTAGAATTTGAATTTAGGTTGAAATTTCTTTCTTTTTTTTTTAAATTAGGTATAATTACGTTGAAATTGCCATTCTAAAATAACCTCTCTTTCTATTTTTTTTTTTTACGTTGAATAGCATATTGTTTGTTTACCATCGACTCTTTTCCTATTAGACTTTCCCAGATACTATTACGTCTTTGTTGGTTCAGGCCTTGTCTGTTTGTTTGAAACCAGCTAACCCTACCCCCCCCCCCTCCCTTGGGAGATTTTCCTTTCTTTTGGCTAAAATTTATTTTGAGCTTTTCTTTTTCTTTTTTATTTTTTTGGAAGCCGCGGGGGGGGGGGGGGGGTTGGGTGGGTAGATTTTGGCTTGGTACCAATAGCCCTAAGGGAAGTGGTGCATGCCCAATGATGATGAAATGGGGTAACCTATCATTTCAAATCCAAGGACCAATGAAGTGAAATTGATAATTGTTAAAGAATTACGTAAATCTTGCAATTGGGTCATGCAGATATTGATGCCAATAAATGATATTGTCCAATTGACTTCAAAAAACAAACATTATTAACTCCAATTGACTTCCAAAAGAAACAAAAAAGAAAGAAAAAAATTAAAAAGAAATGAGTACGAACAATGCAATCTTGACTTCCTTGTCCTTCTTGTTTGATAATTTATATATAGCACTGTTGAATGAAAATGACAACCTAAAAATTTGTAGACGATCCAAAATCATGGTAACTTTAATTTGAGTTTTTTCAAATAACTGATACGCATTGGTGTTTAATTTTCAACTGCCTGAACTTCATTCAAGCAGTTGTACATAACTACAGAAAGTGCTTAGAAGGGATGAATCTGCATCCGTCAAATCAGCAAACTCGATGTTGAAAAGTTTGACTCTCCCTCTGGATCAAACATTTAGAATTGGGGTTACTCAGCCAACTTGTAGCAAAATCATCGGGAAAGAGCTCACCTAAATCAGCTTAATGTTACAAATATTAATGGAGAGGCAAGATAAAAATGTTTGGATCAAGTGGGGTATAAATATTGAGTTTAATCAAATCGAACACTTTAGTATTCAGATTTGTTAAATTATTTTAATGAATTTAAAATTGTATTCAACCTTAACTTGTTTATCAATCAAACCAAACTTAAATGAACTATTATCGAGCATAGTGGCACTGGGGGCACTGGAGCCATGAGCCTTCACTGCCTCCCTTAAATTTCTAAAATACATATAAAAGTTTGATATAATTTCAAGTGTGTCCCCTAGAGTTTTATGTATCTATTGGTTTATATGCTTTTAAAATTGCCTTTGATTTTACCTGTTGTTACAGCTACCGTAGAAAAGGGTTTTTTCAATTATGAATATAGTGAAGAATCGGTTATAAAATAGAATGGAAGACATTTGGATGAATAATTATTTAGTTACTTATATTGAGAAAAATATACTTCGTGGAGTTCAAAATGAAAAGGCTGTAAACCGTTATCAAAATATGAAAACTCGTCATGAGCAATTATAAATGGTTTAGTTTGCTTTTTGAAATGAAATTATTATTACATTAATAATTTTGAGTTTGTCTTTTTATGTTTTTCATGAAATATATGCATCATTTGTACTTGTTGGTGAATATTTTTTTTCCTTAAAAAACTAGAAAAACAGTAGGTAAAAAATTTTAGAGTTGTTTTTGCCTCCATTGAAAATTTTTTTTGGCTCCGCTACTGATCGAGCATAACATGAGTTGTTTAAACTTTGTACTTATAAATCTCGACTTTATGCTAATCGAGTCAAATTCGAATTGAGTTCTAAAGTTTACTTAATAAAACTGCTATTCAACCTTGATTTGAATTTGATTAGTTGACTAATCAAATTCGAATGATCTTTTATTAAACCAAATTTGATGCGAATATCTGAGTATTGATTTATCTTTTAACCCTAGGTTCAAGTTCATATTTCTCTATTAGACAACACTATATGAACAGATTGCGTAACCCTATAAGTTATACTATAACACAAAGAACAAAATTTTATAAAGTACTTTTTTTAAACGAACAGATTGTCGTACTTTTATAAATGAACAGATTGTCGTACTTTTTCCTTTTCTTAAACGAATTTGGCTGACACTAGTAACCAGAATTGTTGCCTACAAAAAACATTCAGTCTTTTTTTTTTTTACCAAAATCTAGTGTTTTTTTCATAATTATCATTAGGATTAATCTTATACACACTGTCAGTTTATACAGTATCACTATTAGATATATAACACATATAAAATTTGAATTTGAAATTTAAAATTTATTCATGTGTTATCTATCCAACCGTGATAGTGTATATACGTTAAAAGTGTAATTTTACTCTTATCATTAACCATAAATACAGGCAAAATCTAGCACATCTGCAAAAATCATACTTACACAATGCCACATATACATACATATATATATGGAAAAATCGTTTAAAACGTTCCTCACATTTTGCAGAATGATCTTTTTGTCTCTCATTTTTAAAAGTGAACTTTTACATCTCTTACAAATTCATATTTTGTCCCTCACTTTTAAAAGTGTACTTGTCCCTCATTTTGTGAAATATGAGGGATGAAACAATTTATTTTATGAAATATAAGGGACTATAGATCGGATTATGTAAAATTTGATTTGACAATTTTGCCCCTAACAAATGATCACATGCAAGGCATATGATGAATTCCGACAAAAAATTAGTCGGAAACCTAGATTGGGACCAAATTTGACCAATGTAAATTTGTAAGGAACGTAAAATTACACTTTTAAAAATGAGGGACAAAAAAATTATTTTATAAAATGTGAGAGACGTTTTGAACGATTTTTCCTATATATATATATATATGTATGTATATGGTAGAAATAGGCAGTAGAGGACACAAGCCCCCTGTCCTTTCAATCTTGGCAAGCTTTGCCCTTCGTTTAATATGTCGGGAACACGAGAGAGCGACGTGCACCCCACCTTGCGCACGCTACCCCACGAGGGAAAACCCTAATTTCCATAGAATCCCAAAGAAAAAAAGATAAAGCCCTTGAGACTTTTGAGACATGGACAATTTCAAAGCACTATATATAACTAATATAAGAAATAGGAAATACCACAACTCCCCGTGTCCTTGCATTATATAACCACTTCAAAAGCATAGTAAGAGAGATTTAGTATTATTGTTTCCATTTCTTTGACGTTGTTATTATAGTACTATCCATAATTTTCCTGTAAGAGTACTACAGTGGTAGTAGTATTGGTCATCCAATCTCTAAGGTGCTTTATTCTTTCTCTTTCGCTGTTGATTCTGTCCGGGCTTTCCTTCTTTTTTTACCTATTATTTTTCTCCTTGTGCTGCATAAGTTCTTTGCTGTATTCTTTTGTGATTTCTGTTTTTCTTATTTTATTTTTAAGTTTGATCATCTCCACGCATATCATCTTTTTATTTTTTTCTTTTCTTTTCTATCTTTAATTGATTCCATCAACTTCTGCATCTAATTCTTCTCTTCTTTACATCTTGATCTTCATCATCATCACTGTTTTCCTCTCTTTTCGGCTAGCTAAGAAAAAGACCAGGAATTTGATCATTAATTCCTCAAATGAGCAGACGATTGGAAATTCTTCTTTTGCCTCAGTATTCTTTCAAAAAATTGAGTTGAAAGCAAGAGGGATTATAGTCCTATTTTCTCGGGGTTTGTTCTCAAGAAATTAAGGCCGATTCAACTTGTTGGATCTTGTTCATCACATCCATAGCTCAATTTGATCAAGATTGCAAGGCTGGCTAACCGGTGGTGGGGTGGACAGGTGGGGTTGCCGGGGGTCGAACCGGCACCTTGTTCACCTGTGTCTTCGAATAAACGCGGCCGGCCGGACTTAGCCATCATGAATGAAAACAGCGGAAGCAAAGGCAGTGAAGATGAAGAAAGAGACAACACTAGTGGTGAGCCAAGAGAGGGTGCTGTTGAAGTTGGAAATCGAAGACCTAGAGGCCGACCTCCAGGATCCAAGAACAAACCAAAGCCACCAATCTTCGTCACGAGAGATAGTCCAAATGCACTTCGTAGCCATGTCATGGAAGTTGCCGGTGGCAGTGATGTGGCCGAAAGCATAGCACAATTTGCCCGCAAACGCCAGCGTGGGGTTTGTGTGCTCAGTGGTAGTGGCTCAGTAGCTAATGTTACCCTAAGGCAGCCCGCAGCACCCGGAGCAGTCGTAGCACTTCATGGAAGATTCGAAATTCTGTCGCTGACCGGGGCTTTTTTGCCCGGTCCAGCTCCACCCGGAGCAACAGGACTGACAGTTTACTTGGCTGGTGGTCAAGGACAAGTTGTTGGTGGAAGTGTAGTTGGTTCTCTTGTGGCAGCAGGGCCAGTTTTAGTGATTGCTGCTACTTTTGCTAACGCAACTTATGAGAGATTGCCTCTTGAAGATGATGAGGATACAACTCCTGCTTGTGGTGGCGGTGGCGGTGGTGGTGGGCAGCCACATCTTGGTGTTGGTGGTGGGGGTGCAGGAAATTCACCTCCTGGATTAGGGACTAGTGGAGGTGGTAGTGGTGGACAACAGCAGCAGCAGCATGCCATGCCTGATCCTCCATCCTTGCCTGCTTACAATTTGACACCAAATTTATTACCGAATGGAGGGCAGTTAAATCATGATGCATATGGTTGGGCACAGTCCAGGGCACAGTATAATTGACAAAGTGAGGAGAAAAGAGAAAGGTAATTTCAAGAATGTTTAATACTCCTATATATGTATGTTTATTGAACTATAACAGGAGGATCTGGAGTGATATATATGTGTGTGTGTAGGCAGGGTGAAGTGAATGAGGGATAGGTAATCTCTGTATACATTATTAAACTTTTGATCTTTTTCTTCCATTGTGCTTGAAATAAAATATGGTCCACTTTTTTTTTGAAGTTTCCAATGTTTCTTCTCTTGCATATGGATTTAATATTAGAATTGTATGGAGATAATGTAAAATACATTTCCTTTTCTTTGTGCTTGGATTCTATCTTTAGTGAGAAATCAGTTATTAATGATCATCAGGTGAATTGGTAGCATTTACAGATCTGCAGGAGACAAATTGGTTGGTGGAATAGCTTCAACAGAGAAATTGTTAGAAAATAGTGTAGTAATGGAACCATTTTCGGGCTTTGCCTGTAGAAATGAACATACTATTGGACTTCTCATAATTTGTGAATCATCAAAGGTCAAAAAATCCCCAACACTTGATCTCCTTCACATATAACCTAAGAGGTTTTCTTCAACTGTGTTTTTTTCTTAATAATTGTTATTTTTTAAAGTTGGATCAACTGTTATCTCTAACATTTTTGCACCTATATTCCAGTGTGCCCTGGTATAGTTCCTTATTTCTTTCTTTTTCATTTTCGTATAATCAACTAAAAGATATATCTTCATATCTAAACTTTTATTGTATATGATTTGGAACATTTTTTTTTTTTGCTTAATTATGTTACATAGCTCTGAAAGATATATCTTCATTATTTTTTTCCTTATTTATTTATTTTTTTATATCTTCACCCAACTAGTTTCTTGAAGGGCCTGCAAATAAGCATGTCTTTTTCCTATAGCACAATCAAAGAAGAAGTATAAGCTTTGGAAAGGAAACAAAAATGAAAGAGTATTTCACGCAGGGTATTTGTATCTATTTTTTGAACTTTTGAGTATCGCAAATGCAGCTGAAAATAACCACTTTTTTTTTTTTTTTTGTATTCTTTGGGTGGTGGGGAGGATGAAAAAAAGAAAAGAAAAGAAAAGAGGAGAGGAGGTCCCATGTCCGCAAATTTTTCTTCATTTGCATACATAACATACCCCCTGATGGAAATTAATTAAAGGAAGGAAGAAATCGTAAAGGATTAAATAAAAAGGAAAGGATAAACCTCATAATGTCATGTCAACCAACAATAAAATGTAGGACTTTCATGAAGGATTCTTCTCTGCCCCACCTGGTCTTGCACAGACAAAGCAACCCTTGTTACAAGAGTATGGTTGCTCATCTTCATTGAAGAAATGTATATATATGGCTTTTCATCGTCATTAAAGAAATTTATAAACACTTCTACAAAAACTGGAAGCTCTATTATCTCTACAATAATAAAGCCCCGTAGTTAGTTAATTTGCTGTAAACTTTTTCTGTCAGTTTTTGTATTTCTAGGTTTACCTTCCTTGTAAATGCTCAGCCTTTTGTATTTTCAAATTTACTCTCACAATAAGTGCTCCGCTAGTACTCAAACACTACGTGCAAAATAATTACTTCGATCTAATAACTAGTGACAAAAATAATTATTTCAATCCAATAATCACGTTATGCTCTGCTAACCCACTCAACCACTATTTCCTTCTTACAAACTCTCCGTACTTATATTGTGACCAACTGAGTGATTGACACAAGCACCAAAATACGAGTAGGGAACAAATTAATAGCACAAAACTAAAACACACGAAAAACTAAATAGGACAATCCTAAGGGTGATGATTAGCGGATGGTATCCTCGGCATGAGATGATTCAATCAAGATCTAAGGTCAAGGTAGTTTACAATCTTTTGTTCAATCCATTAAGTTTATGTGCTCGAATTATGTTCTTAAGTTCTTAGTTTTTTTTTTTTTTGCATACTCAAAATTTTGTCATGTTCTTGCTAACTGAAGTGATTAATGAATGTTTCCTCCTTAAAAAGGCCAAGCAAACAGACTAACCACAACATTCTTAAATCATGGAAGTGATTTTCTATTTCTAAGTTCACAACTTTTCTAACTGTTTTTACATTTTCAAATTTTGCCATTTTCTTGCCAAGTAAACTGCTAAGCATGTTAAGAACTAATTATGATTTTTATACTGAAATTTTGTCATTTACTTGTTAAGTAAAATGCCAAAAATTTTAAGAACTAACTATGATCCTTAAAATGTTGCACACGCATCGAGTGTACTCCCATCACTATTTTTATTAGTACCCTAGAAAAGATTTTTGCCCCTTTTTGTTACCTATGCTAGTAGTAAATGCTTAGTTTAATAAGATAGTTGTCCATTCGTTATTAGAATTGAAAAAAGAACATGTTATGCCACATTTTTAATGCATTTCATAGTATATTAATAAAACTGCTCACATTGTTATTTCTTTAATCCAAAAAAGGAAATATTTGCCTTATCTATTTTAAACTCTTTTAGAATATTTTTGATAAATGATATTGACACTTCAAAAAATCTCGATCTGGACACTCCGCTCTTACTTATTATTGTTAAAATGTCATAAACTCCCAGAATCTAGAAGTATCTTACTAACACCTAGAAAGCGCTTTTAACACCTAGAAGTACCTTTCTGAGAAAAGTACTGTACTTCCAATCAGACTCTAAATCAAGGTCTATTATAAATGAGGTATGTGAAGTAGTGGAAAAAGAATTTCAAAGAGATGAAGTGCTATAAACGAGAGAACATTTTTAATCATATGAACACTGCATAATCATATGAAAATTAAAGTAGTAATTCTGGCGGATATTGTAAGAACTAGCAATTATTTGAGCAACTTTCAGGATGAGACTTCTCCTTGTGTTTTGATTCCATTTCAACTGAACTAAATGGCAGTAAGCAACCAAAACCATGAACTTTGGGACCAATTTCGGTGATGCAAAGAGAATTGTGATTTGGCACTAGAATTGGGACACTCATTAGATCAGTTTTGCTAGATTTTTATATAGTCTGTGTACAGTTTAGTTATTCTTCCTGTGTAGTTAGGGATTGGTTATCATCAATAAAAAAAAATATTTCTTTTCTTAAAAAGAAAAGAAAACCATGAACTTTGCCTTCAATTCATACTAGATTTGATCTCTTAAATTTGCAGGGAATGGAAAATCTCTCTTATTTTTGTCTGCTATGCATGCATGCAATGGTTTTGGTAGTGTATTTTTATAAAATAAGGGTTAAGTCATATTATCGTACCAAAAAAGAGTCTAGCTTTATATGCAGTAAATCAAATTGAGGTCTTTGTTTATGTCTTAGAAAAGTAAAAACAAATTAATCAAAGTAACTAAATGCAACAGGACAAGAAATGTGCTTTATATGCCTTTAAATGGTGTATTATGCATGTTTTACAAGTGCACCTAGGCATTTTTTAAAACATTGAAGATACATTGATGTTAAAAAAAATTCCTTGTTTGGATTGTGAATTTCCACTGAAAAATTTTTATATTTTTCGTGAACACATTTTCTAATTATCTTTTTGTTTTACATGCATCAAATCGCTTCTACAAAAAACTCCTAAAAATAGCAATCCAAATAGGATTTTGTCATGAATTATTAGTTCTGCTTTATTGTTAAACAACATTTTATATGCCCATGATTCGTGTCAAACCAAATGACCAGAACGGTTTTTGTCAAATTCTTTGTGAAATCAGTAGTAAAAACTAAAAAGGTGAACAGTCTTAATTACTTTGTGATAAGTTAACTCTACAATATCTTAGCCAGGGTAACTAGATAAAATGAGTGAAATTGATTACATCATGTTCCTGAATAAATCATTTAGGGGGCGCTTGGTTCAAATTTAGGAATCGGAATTGTAATTGGAATCATGTTCAAAAATTTAGTATTGGGTTTGATCAAGAGTATCATTACAATGACTAATGTTTGGTATATATTTATAAGGTTTTGGAATCAACTTATTTTTCATTTTCTTATCTTTATTTTTTTCTTCTTTCCCTTTTCCTACTTCCTTCTTCCCAGCCCTTAAGTATTCATGCTTCACCAATTTCTCTTGAACCACCACCAATCAAACTTGCAATCTGTGAAGTATGGGAGAGCGACTAACAAGAGATGAGAGAAATCCTTACACAATTTTTTGAAGTTTTCGAGTCAAATTGAATCAAATTAGGGAATCCATCAAAACCCTGGGGATTGAGAATCCTCAAATTTTAATAATTCACTCCAAAATTCTGAATTCAATACATGTAACCCAAACAGTAAGAATTGGAATTATTTCAATTCCTAATTCTGAACCCCTTTTACCATACGGTACCTTAGATTTTAAGCCATTGCTATGTATAAAAAAAAAAAAAATTGTAACTCTTGTAACAGTGCAAGAAAAATTAATAACGAGAAAATTATTCAATTGATGGAGAAAAATGTTTACCCATGCTGAATGGTACACACATAGTTAGACAAATATATGCGTATGTCAATATTCTTTATTTCTTTAAATTGTCACAAAATCTTAAAAGTTGTGAAGATATCCTTAAAATACAACTTTTTTTTTTGTATCCATGTTAGTTTCGTGAACATCTGAAGGTAATGGAGATAGTTTTGGAATGTACGTTTGATGAATCATGAAAGCTTGTAAGAAGGAGCATAGTATCCAAATGACTCGACAATCTCAAATCACTTTCAATTTTCACTGTCGTGTCACCCCTGCCACGCTTACTAGCCAAGAGACAAATGACTCAGCAATATCAAATATTATTCTAGCATCCTAACAACCCCTGTCAATTAAATTGAACAATCCTACCCTGTGGAGCTGCAAAAAAGCTCAGCCATACAGGAAATTTTGTTTATCTAAGAAGAAACATGTTTCTTTCCATAATAAGCAAATGCAGCCGGATCTCGTAAACCCTTTCTGGAAAAGAGTTACACAATTTCCAAATCAAGACATTTTGCATAGCTTCTTTGTGTGGATTATATTGCATTGCATCTCCATCAAAATCTTCAACCACAGACATGGGTTTATGCACAAGTACAATGCCTTAGCACGAGATCTCATGAAACTTGTGGTGGGTGATTCATAAGAATGATTTCTTGGTGCCAACAAAGATGTACAGTAATCGATAAAGCCAGTGACTAAATCATTGAGAAGATTTTCAACTAACACTCAAAGGATCATAGAGAGAGGGAGAGGGAGAGGGGGAGGTGGTGG